AAAAGAATAGCCTATTTTCTTTTTTAAAAGAATATATTTGTGCTGAGTATACAGGGTCTCAATACACTGATCAGACTCGTAGTGATCCTCCTGTTTTCAGCCTTCCCAGCACTGAGTTAGCTTAGTTTACTGCACTAACTCCTTGGCCCTAATATTAAACTTGTTACGGCTATTGACACTCCTAGAATCTGTGACTTAATGTGTGAAATGGCTGATGAATTATAAAAAATCCTTTGCTTCTTTTCTCAGGGCCATTTGTAGTCAAAAGTTAACTGTTGAGCATCAGGGAGCTTAGATTGGAAGTGAAGTCACTAACCACAAAGACCCATGGGGAATCTAATCTGTGACCTCTGCTGCATTCATACTGTACTATAATCAGACATAGAGGAAAGAAAGCTCCTGTCTGAGAGAAGGACAGAAGGGAGACCCAAGTAGTATGCCTGGGAAGCTTCCTTTTCTAGGGATTTTTATAGAGTAAAACCATGAGGTGAGGCCAGTGTAAGGTAAAAAAATATGGGAATGTATTAGGTGGGCATGAGGTAGAACAAAACTACAGTCAACCAATAAGATTACAAGCAAAATTCCTCAGGTAAAACGGATTAAATCTAGGACCAAATGGGGAAGCAAGTCATATAGCAATCAAGTATGAGTACAGAACAAAGACTTTTTCTTTTTTTTCTTTTCCAAAGGCTTTTTTTGTAGGAGGTTGGTCAGTGACTCTGGCTTCAAGGTTATTGATACCTATTATAGAAACATTTCTGAATGTTCTGACTTTGTTTTTTTGGTTCTCCCCCACCACCACTCTTAATCTGAATGTTCTAATTTTCATTACAAAGTTACATTCTCAAATAAAACTGGCAAATACAACTAATCTGTACAATATGGAAACCACGCTGGACTGCATTAAAGATGGGCACCAAATATTCCATCAAGATCTTATTAAAGGGCTGGTGAGATGGCTCAGTGGTCTAAAGCACCTACTTAGAACAAGCTTAGCAAAACACGGGACCGCGGTTCAATCCCACCGCACCACATGTCAGCCAGCCCCGCCCCCTGGTGGGCTGAGCTGGCCACACACACACATACACCCCCCCACCCCCTACATAAATAAATAAAATTTAAAAAAAAATCTTATTAAAATGTAAACTCCATGAGAGCAGAGGTTTTTGTTTTTTTTTTTTTTTTTTGTCCATTTCATTAACTGCTATGCTCTCAGTAAATAGTACAGTGTGAAGTAGACAGAAAAACAAAAAACAAAACAAAGTTGACTGGTAGAACTGGTAGAACATAGTTACTTTGCATAAAAAGGCAAGTTTTTAGCTGGATACTTGTACACAACCAAATCCATTCATGAAAGAAAGACAGGACACAAGAAATAGTAGAGTACTCATTTTCCAACATCTATTCATATAGAAGAAGTATATAAGTTTCTAGGATTAATGAAGTCATTACTGATTTTTAGCTCCATACTTAAAATCAGTTAAGTGCTCGCTTCGGCAGCACATATACTAAAATTGGAACGATACAGAGAAGATTAGCATGGCCCCTGCGCAAGGATGACACGCAAATTCGTGAAGCGTTCCATATTTTCTATTCAAAGTGGTTGGGATAGATATATAGTTACATTCTGTTAATGAATAGAATGATTTGTTCTAATGGTGTTTGTAAATAGGATCACAAGTCCGCATCTTGTACAGCAATTAACCACTAAGAAGAATATATGCAGTGTATTATTTGTTGAAAAAAAAATAAAAAAATAAAAAAAATAAAAAAAATAAATAAAATAAATAAATAAATAAATAAATAAATAAATAAAATAAAATCAGTTAAGACATGTACCAACAGTACACCGGTGGGTGGGGGTGGGGGAAGAATGGAAGAACAGCTAGCTAATATAAATACCAAAACTGATTCCAAGTGCGGAATTCTAAAACAAAGTGACTACTTCACTGTTGATGTAGCCCCTACTATGATGGTCAAATCAAATATACTGACCATATTTCATTTCCTATACAAAGAAACCATTCTTTTTGAAAAAGAACAAGGTAAAGATCAAGAAGGGGGAAAATTCACATTTGTTGGATACAAGAATGGTGCTTCTTGCTTTCTATAAGCAGTAGCTTATTAAATTCCCACAATAATTCTGTACATTATTAAATCTTATTTTACAATGAGGAAACAGGTTTAAAGAGCTAAAGTGAGTTGTTAGAGCATATAGCTAGTGGTAGAAGCACTGACTTGTATTCCCACTTCTAAAGCTACTATAAGCATGACTGCTAGTTCAGTTAGGCCTTACACAGAAAGCATATGTAACTAATGTTTGCATCAGCTGAAATGTGGAAATATCAAGACTGATAACAGCTGGTAACTGTTGATTTCCAGCAGCTTATATTTTCAAAGCAAAAAAGAAAATTCCCCCCAAAAATCAGCAATGAAAGATTTTTGTTTTAAAAGGACACAACCTAGCCAAATTTAAAAGAAAATAAGCAGGATGTGGTGGCACATGCCCATAACCCCAGGACTCGGCAGGATCTCAAGTTTGTGGCTTGCCTGGACAACACTGTAAGACTGTCTCAAACATTAAAAATAAAATAAAATAGAGCCAGATTTAAGAAGATACTTAGTGATACTGCACAAATCTTTTTCAATAATGATATTACATAATTTCCAGCAAACACATTCTAATGCATTAAATGGAAGCATTATGGTAGCAGATATTTTAAAGAAACACTGTTCTTTTTCCCCTCAAGGATTTATTTCCACATTGAAGTGCCAGACACTCAACCAACTAATCTGAATAGGTGTTTGGGTGGTGAAGTAAATGCTATTTTAAAATCTGTTCTCATCTCACTTTAGTAAGATGAAATAAATTATCATATGTACTAAAAATAGCTCACTATTCTGAAACTCAATGCCTGTTTGCCAGAACAATATTAGTGAAGCATACTCTAGGCATTCTTTCCCCAAATATGGTATCTGCCATGCACAAAATTCAGAACAGAAGCCATCATACATCTGAAATAATATCATTTTAAATATTTTTAAAAGCTAAATGAATCCAGTTAACAAAACATAACGTACTAAAATTAGCATTCCAAACTTAACATTTATAGTTTTTACTGACAAAAAGGAGTGTGAATTCAGTTTTAACTTTTACACTGGAAAAGTCTGATGAAAGTTGTGCTACTGCAATAAGCACATTCAGTCACTTACTTGCCTAATTTCCCTATACATAAAAGTGACTTGAGAATATGATGCTTTAAAAGTTTTCTAAGTCTGACAACTGTGTTTCAAGAGATTAACAAAATAAATTACTTTGGGCAATTTTTGAGCTATTCATTATAAAATATAAGATTCTACATTGACAAAAGTTATCACTTTTGTTGAAATCAAATGGAGACATCAAAATTAAGGAAATATTAAATATAAGAAATTTTAAAGGTACCATAACCTCAAAAAATAAAACTGCAAGCATTTCTGACTTACGAAAGATTTATATCGCATTTGATTAAACAAGTTCAAAGCTGAAAATAACATGAAGTAATACAAAAAGATCATAAAATTTTAATTTCTAAAGAGACTTGTAACATGGATTAACTTTCAAAAAGCACACATATAACCACTTTAAAAATTAATTTTAATAGAAAAATCCAATTATTTGATATTATCTGATACTGTACTTGGATTGCCATTTCGAGCTATAAGAAATAAACCGATAGTTATAATGTTATGACCTTGAAAATTTACACTAACCTTGATTGCCCAAAAGAGCTGTTAAAAAAAAAAAAAAATCATACAAATACCAGAAAACAAACCTTTTGAAAGCTTTGTTTCTTCTACTACTTTGGTTAGATGTCCCTCCACGATCAGCTTCTCTGCCAAAGAAAATAAATGTTACTATCCAAGCTCAAAGAGAGCAGCATTTCCCAGAGCCGGCCGTGTAACACATTCCATGACCAAATTTAAAGATGATAACATTACTCCTATGACCAAGCTTGAACAAAAACTGCAACTTGGAAGGGGAACTAAGAGAATAAATGCGAACGACCATACAGTAATGCAGGTCAATGCAGAAAGCTGGACACTGGGAGACAATTTGCCTTTTATTTTCATTAGATTTCACTTCATTTAAAAAGTCTAGATCTTTTTGTGAAAGAACAATGTAACCTTTCAATTCATGATTTACATAGAAAAAAATGAATTCTGACAAGGTGCTTTACTTAGACTAGAAATAAAAATATGCTAATACAGTTTATTTTGCCCTGCTGATATATATAATTCAGTAGCTAAGTCTATAGAACATTCAGGGAAGGTTTGGCTGGCTTAGTTGTGGGGACTGAACCACAGCAACCTGAGCCTGACTGCATTGTTGAAACAGCCACTTAAAAGAACTGAGCTAAGGGGCAAGCCCCCTAAAATGTTTTATGAAAAAAATGTTTTATGTATGATTCTCTGTAAATGTATAATGTACCTTCTTTATAATTTGTCTTTTTTTTTTTTTTTCCCCCCGGAACCAGGGATTGAACTCAGACCCTTGTGCTTGCCAGGGAAGCACTTATTCCACTGAGCCATCTCCCCAGCCCCATAATTCATTTTAAGTCATATTTTTATATACTAAATTTCACCAAGGAGGATAATGTGTCAAATTTGAATTTAATGCTATAAGCCAGCTCGTCTCTTTTTATTGACCTCTTTGCAGCATGAGAAATAAGTTCTACTCTTTCACTCTTTTTTTTTCTTTTACTCTTTAAGCAGCTTAATTTGGTTGACAATGGAAGCCACTTGGAGATCATTACAACTCTATCTGCCAAAACCCACAGTCTCTTTTCATAATTTTCATT